TTGACTTGCTCTTTGCTGTCTTTAAAGAGAGCTTGTGTCTCTGTGAGTTGTCCTGTTAGATATAAATAAAAATGTGAGTGATTATAGTTTTAAATAGGTTAATAGAGGGTAAGGTTACGGCATAGTTTAATTTGTTAAGGGACATTTCAATTTATATAACTGAGAAGGCAGAGGATGAACAACAAAACTTCAAGAATGCCTAGTTCAAATCTAGAGTGATTTCATTTGACCTGTGAAATACAATTTATCAATTAGGTAATTGTCAATTTGATCATTTTCAGATAGACACAAAGGAAAACAATGCAATTAAACTTTACAACCTCTAATTGACTACTGACTATGGTATTTCACAGGTGAAGAAACACCACTATAGCATTTTACTTCTAAATTCTATCAAGACAGAAGCACAGAATTGTCTCAAAACTAAGAACTGTGTTGCACACAGCTATCTACATTTAATTTTTTTACCTTTAAAGCTTTCTAAATGTTGCTTCTTTARTGCAAGTTCATTCTCGAGTTTATTCAGCTTTGCTGCAATAAAAAATATTTTGATTTTATTCATAATGTCAGACTAAAAGGGGGAAAAAGCAATGGAATAGAGAGAAAGTAAGGTAGTGATTATACCCTGCAGTATTTTTAGATCATCACTACTGCTTTGTTCAGGGACTTCGTTGGCAAAGACTACTGTTTCTATGGGAAAGAAGGAAAGACTCAATTATCAGATAAAAAGTACAAAAAACTCATCCCTCCCTTCCTCCCTTTCCCCCAACATGCATGCTACAAATAAACTGCTAATGGGAAGAGGGCAACACAGCCTTGCATATTAATATGCTCCTGCTCTGGATGTTTCTGGACTTGGACATCACAGCAACACATGCCTATAATTGTACACACACACTGCAAGCTGCAATTACTCTGCCCTTACCTTCAAATAACTSAGGCTCTTGTCCAAGTTGTGAACCTAGGTTCTCAACACATTCTATKGGTTTATCATTCAGGTCTTCAGAATCTAAAGCAGAAAATACAAAACAACAAAATTAGTTACTTCATTAGCAGTCTTATTTACTGAATAACTTAGAAGCAATCATTGACTCAGACATGAAAACATTTTTTACTTAAATATATATATACCTAATCATTTGTAATAATATAYAAAAAATAGTGCAAACAGCAAGTGAGATATTAAGATTAATGCAAAGTAAAGGTTTAATCATAGTGTTATCAAATTCAACAGAATTTGTTAATCAGCAGATTCAAATAATGGTACTGTAGTTTAGTTAGAATACAAGATATGCAACACCTCACTTAATAAAAAATMTTGTCCACTAAACACCCGAGAACATCTAATTTTATTCATCTAYGATATATTCCTATATTGCTGGCTTGTAAATTGAGCCTTAGCTAGTCAAAATATATTCAGACTTTGACATATGCATCTATGATAATTAAATGCTAAATGTTTATTATTGAATGTAATTTGACAGGTATCAAAAAAATCTGCAAATAATTTAGAGCAGCATTAAATTTTCTTGGATATTTTTAGGTTTAATTATCAAAAATAAKAATAATTCACCTATAAATTATGTTCAATTCCACCTAAGGTTTACTGCTGACAATCCACTAGATTAAATACCAGGTTTTATGGAATACCATACATCAGAGTTGTTAACTCTCCATARATATATCAGTACCCAGGTACCTGCAAAAACCTGCCATAATATTTTTACTTCTAAATGTATATTATRTATTGATGCCAATCGATAAATGTTAGCATATTTATTTAAACCTGATGCCTTAGGACTTGCCTTAGGTATAACAAGAATTGGATCCTTCAAACTGGCATGTCATGGCCAACCACACAATCAATTATTCAAATGAGATAAAAACTTTTTCACCACAGAATATATAGGTTATTATCATCAAGACAAAATATGTTCTGAACTACAATAGAACTTTGTTCAAAATAAAATAAAGTATTCCCTACTTTGGATTCAAAATCCTTAATCATTTAGAATTTTTAAGGAAACAATTAAGAGAATTGTTGTTTTTTAGCCAAATTTAAGGTGTTTCTGAGTTGAAGTTTTGGAGACAAAACAATAAAAGCAAATAAATTTGCTTTTTCTTTTATTTTCTTGGTTCACATTTCGTGCTGGAATTCCATTTTTATGTTACACCAAGAGGCACCAGACTAAATATTATATATTAACACAACTACATTATGAAATAAAGGTTGAAGTTTAAATATATAATAATTATTATATCTTAGATGTAAGGTATTATTTATAGACAAATAATATAATACAGTGGGCTTTTGTTTTAAATTCTTGTGCACAGCTGATATTAACTGGATGCTTTGCAGCCATGACAAATATCTTCTTTCTTACAGGTCACAGCTTTTTTAAAAATCTAGTTGCACCAGAGACCTTTGCACAAAATTAAAAATTCTATTCAAATGCATATTTTCAACAACAAAAAAACTATAAAAATCTAGCAAATTGCTGTCATTAAAATTTTGCGAAGAATGAACACACTCAGGCTCATTACGAGTCTATCTTGCACTTGTGTTAATCATATATTTCATACATCTCAGTTCCTAACGGCATATTAAAACCAAAATTCATATGGTCCATCCTACCTGATAAGTAGACAAAGCAGTAACTATAAATAACTGGGGCAGGATTTGTTACCAACAATGTCTTATCAAGCTTGTAAGAAGCTAGAGTTTCCATTGCTATTGTCATTATTATTTGAGCTATTCCAACATTTGTGAGCTGTTTCCAAGCAGCATGGAAAGTTATTAAAGATGGAGACCTAAGTACAGAGTGTGAATGTCTGTTGCATGTGTCTGTATTATTGTCCGTGGATTATCATAGACTTGGCTGTCATCCATATGTTTAATGCAAATGAAGGTAAAATTCACCCAATCACTAGAGTAGTGGTAATATATACGCTAGGGCTATTAATCAAATCAGGAATTTTGACCATAAACCTTTAGAGATTAATTAAGCTATTGAAAAAAAGGCATAAAATATGTATTCCAAGATAGACCAGAAGCTTACTCTATTTTGTTGCAGTTGTTTAAGTTGCACTAAATAAATTTGGTTAGTTTTGGCTAAATGTTTAATCTCGTACCTTTTCCAAATATATAGCATTTAGTAAACAATTATTTAGATGTTGACAAAARAATAATAATTCAATGAAAATAGAGAAGTGAAGTGAAGTAGGGAAGCGAAAGCAAAAAATAAACAAATGAAAATAGTGTAACAATAAAGAGAAGAAAAGGAGAAATTAAAAATAAGGGAAAGTAAGAAAGAAAAAAAAGGAATGAAAAAAGAATTGAAAGAAGAAGGAAAAGAAACCAAAAAAAGAGAAGAAAAGAAGAAAAGAAGGATACAATGTAAATATATACATTTTAATTCTGAATTAAAACATTAGCTAGCCATGGATTCTCTATCAGTTGTAAAGTACAGATGAACGCACTATACACAATGCCCTAAAATTATTTCTCAAAAACCATATATTCCATATTAAGTGTTATTTTGTTCTGCTTTTGGTTGAAAATTCAAGGACTAGCATTATTGAGCTATCAAGTTGCTGTTGAAAGTTAGACACTTTTAGTATAAGGCCACAGATCAATATTTTCTATCCTAGTTTGTAAGGAAAACAAGTCACCCTAATGACGGAAAGTATACAGATTGTTAAATAATTGAAAAATATTTTAATACTTATATTGTACATATTTTATTGGGAGATTCTTACATGCACATTACAAAATGCTACACTACAAACTTACAACATATCATACATTAGCATATACCAACTTGTGTACTTCCTAAGAACGCGTGCGCTCATTGGTTAATTGGAGGTGAATATTGTATGATACTCACCTCTGAATCTCGGAATATTGAGTCAGCAACAAAATGGCGTCTGCCGGCAATCATTTTGTTACAATTTCCGATGAGGACATGGAAAAATGAAAGTAAATGCCATTCCTATCAATACTAAAAAGGCAACGAAGCATGGCCTAAAAGTTTTGCTAAAAGTTTTGTGTGAATTTGTCACGCAAACTAAAAGTTTCTGTTTGTTTTTATTGAATCCTTGTATAAAAAAATAAGTTACTCTGTACACAAGTTGGTATATGCTAAAACAATAATTATTCGCCTCAGGCTCAGTGAATATGGAGAATATTTACCTCGCCGCTCGAAGACTCGCGTCTCGGTAAATATTCTCCGATATTCATTTCGCCTTCGTCGAATAATTGCTAAATATAATCTAATTAACAATAAAATGCTAAAATAATATTAATTTAATAGTAAATAAATGTAACTACACATACCTTGGGCTTTCTTAGGATTGTCTGATTGATATTCACTTGACTTCAGAACTCCTTCTCTACGCTTATCCAGTTGCACTGCAAAGAACCATAAAGAGACTCAAAATTAATGCCACCCATTATATGAGCTAATTTTAGTGCTTCAACCTTTGTAGCAATGCTGATACTCAAGCTGAAGAGAAATCATTGAGCACATGGTATATTTTGAATCAAACAAATAAAACATCTTGAATAGAATAAAAAAACAACTTCTGTACTTTCTTTCCAGCTTCCTCTTTAATAATGTTTTTTGAAAATGGGCCAACAATAGAGGCAAACATTGTCGCTAAGTTTGCTAATAAAATATACTCCATTTCAAAAACAATTTCTTTGTGGAAAATAGTGTATATTGTATAATTATTATAATATATTGTATAGTTATATATTATTGTAAGTGCATTGACCAAACACAACAGGAAAAATGATTCAATATATTACGATCAATCCAAGTATTGATGGCGATTTCTTAGTCTTGTGGATAGCACCTAAGRACAAAGCTTACTTCAAGCATCTGACATACCTTTCATAGCAATTAGCTGTTCTTTAGCAAAATCACATTCAGCTTGTAAAGATTCAGTCTGTGATTGAAAGATAAGATAAAATGTTGACATTGGTTTAAGTGTTTGGGTGCCAAGAAGCTTTTAGACCAACCGTAAATAAAGGGATCGTATAATATCATATTAATTTTGGTTAAAACTATAGTTTCAGGAAATATCCRTAACCTTTTGACGTTGAGATTCCCAAGGAAGGGGAGTGTTGGGCATGTTTCGGTACTATCTTCGTGGAGCTTTCTCAAAAAGTTTCAAGGGGAGGAGACATGCATATAACATTATACAKTTCTACAATATTGATTGACTGTTGAAGAATGTGCATCATGAGAAAGTGGCAGTGAAAATGTGAATTGGTACTCCAAACACTGGGAGAACTCACACAGCAAGTATAGCAAGAAACTAGAAACAAATGATAAGACATGCAGCAGGAAATCTGTGTTTTACTAAATAAAGAAAAAGGAAGAGGGAATTGATTTGTGCTTAAAGGTTTTAACAGGCACAGAAGGAAATCATTAAGTTAGTTTTGTATCAGCAGCTTTAGTCACTATATAGTCACCATAATTAGTTAATTATTTCTAAACTAAGAGATTACATATTGTGCGTAAATACACTATTTTAAAAATGAAGCCAGTCCACTAGTGTAACAGTAGAAGATTTTCAGATTTCTAATGGATCCATGTTTTTCATTTTTAATTCTTTTGCTTTCTATGAGACATTTATAAACATTATCAAAATTACAGGTGCAATGAAACAAATAGTGTCTTATGTTACATAGCCTAGAAGCAAAGGCCAAAATATTAAAAGAATTAGATGATTAACAGATACAGATATAATGATTTACTTTCTAATGGATCCAAGTTTTTGCACCTTGAATTGGTTTGATATGTAGAAGAGTATTTAGAAGATTCTATTAGACAAAACAACAAGGTGACAGAGTGAGCCATAGGTGCAGTAGAACAAATAGTGCCTTACATACCCTAGCAGCAAAGGCTGCTTCTTTTTTCCTAGCTTCTTCCAAGTTGCTTTGAAATTCCCTTCTTTCTTCATTAGCCTGTAGAGTATGGATGTGAACCCAGTAATGGGTCTATCAGTCATGTACACAACTAATAATGTGACCAATAGGAAGCACAGGTGGTGTACTGGTGAGAGAGCCCGTCTCTGGTCAAGGCGACCCAGGTTTGAGTCCCATCAGGCTTGGTGTTGTATATGACTAGATCTTAAGTTGTTTGTTGGTTCTCTCCTGTGCTGTAAGGRGTTTTCTCCAGGTTCTCTGGTTTTTCCTCCCTCCACACAACTCAACGTTTAAATTCTAATTCGATCTATATTGGTAGCCTTATCAAGTGGGTTGCAAAACATGCTAAGCTTTCCATCCACTATGGAGTAGTAAATCAGATTAGATTTAGAATGACACTTAGATTTAGACCATGTAAGTAGGCCATAAGGACTTGTCAGTAGAATTGAAAAATAATGGTATTATTATTGGGCTCTTATTTGCATTCTAATTTTTGTTTCAAAACACTGATGAATTACTGGTGTTAGTAAAAGACTTTGCTCTATCTAGAATCAAGGTTAATTCTAGAGTATAGTGGGAATAATATAATATATTCCTATATATCTATTGATATTTTTGTACCAAGTACTAATATTGCAAAACATTAAACACTAAATTGATCAAAATATAAATCCTAATCTTAATAGACATTATTGAAACTTCTAGGGATAATGATTCTTATAGCTCTGAAAAGTATTTTGCTTTGACCAAGACTTCAAGGATTGTTACTGATTAGGCAAAAACTAAATGATTGATGAATGAAAATAGGTAATTTTATTAGCAGCATTGATGAATTCTCCCATTTGCTGTTGTTAAAGTGGTGTTTTATGAAATGTGGTGGGAAAAAATGAAATGAAAATCTCTGGCAGATCAAGATGATTTTAAGGGAGTGGATGTTACGTAGAAAAGCAGTATATTGCTTGGATTTCTATGCATTTCTATTTATTCATTATTCTTAATTTAACTCCAATGGGAAGTGGATGGACACCTAATTTTATTTCCTCTTAGGCCTACTGGATCTGCCATGGAATTTGGATGCAACAAAGTGATAAAACAGCAAACAATAAAAATCAAAATAATATCATTTCCTACCAGGCATAAAATCTAAAGGAAAAAGAAGTCTAAAGGTGGACAATTTTCTTTATTCCTTTGGTAGATTTTTGAACTAACCTGTTCATCTACAGCAGCATGTCTTCTTTCTGCTTCTTCTACTTGTTCTTGCAATGATCTCATTTCTTCCAGTCTCTAGCAATTTTATCATTTTATGAGAAATGAATAATAATTAATAATCTACTATTAAAAATGCTGGTAAAGGATCAGTTGTTGCAAATACTCCATTTACATGAAGGCAGGTTGACTATGGTGCCACGGACAAGTCTTTTGATTCATTAACATATTAGAAGCAATAACCTTGATATCTCCAAGATGCATCACTCAAATCATATAACAATATTTTACCATTCAACTATTTACTTGACATAGAATCAAAATTGAAAATGCTCGGTACTCCCCTATATTTGCTATACGGGTATGTGCCGCCTTATAGGGTATGGTTTTTCGGCTTTTGGGTCTGGGGTAGGGTATCATTTTTTGACATTTTGTCTGGGATAGGGTATCATTTTAGTCTGGGATAGGGTTAACGATTTGGTTGGTTTTGTCTGGCTTTCTGCCAGCACAAAAACAATAAAAATGTTAGTAAATATTGATTGCAATCGATGGTAAAACCGTATTTTCCGTCTTTTAGTCTGGGATAGGGTGAACAATTCTTAGTTTTAGTCTGGGGTAGGGTATGTAAAATCAAAATTTTAGGTCTGGGATAGGGTCAGGGTTTTGAGGTCCTGTCAGCACACCTCTACCCAAGTTGGGGTGGTAGTACCCCCCCCCCCCAGGGGGGCGGGGGCACCTCAATGGGCTACCCCTAACAGTAGGCTTACAACCTAATGTACCTCTTTTTCAGTTACACTGATGATGATCTTTGTTTAGACCAAAAGGTCTGTTTAAAAATTGTAAATTTCACAAGTCAACTTACTTTACATTACAAAAACTGTTATTGCCCTCGGTAAAGCTTGTTATATCCACCAACTTTAATGACCATCTATTTATTTAGTTTTTCTGTAAATTTTTTTCTTACTTGTGCATGTCTTTCAGTTAATTCTTTCATCTCCTGTWGGGACTTTTCATATAGACTTTTGTAATGAAGACACTCATCTTCTGCTGTACTGCAAGATCTCTGGACAATATTACAATAATCATCATTAGACGTACCAGAAAATCAGTGATAATTTAAAGGACAATGATATATATAATTATAGAGGTGACTAGAAGACAATGGAGTCATCAGAGTGGGAAAAAATATAATTGAATTCTAAATTTATGAGAAAAAAAGATGACAAAAAAGAAATCCAGACACATTAATATCCAGACACATTAATTCCAGACACAGTTTTTTTTTAAAATATGCACAAGTCTTTCTAATCTTTGCTCTTAATGAATATTTTATAGCCAAGAATTATTTTTCCAAACTTGAAGAGTGCCAAATTTTATTTCTTCTAGGTATAAGAACAGGTATTTTCAAATTGTTTCAGCAATCCAAAATTTAGATGACATTTAAAGAATAAATTAACATGCAGYACTTAAGCACCATTGATAATTATTACATATGACAGTAACACAATAATAATCAATTACCAATATTTAAAAATTTCAAAATTGTTAGTCATTGACTTCTGTCAGTAATATTTTCTTATGGTGAAGAACCAGTTTCAAATTTAAGTGTATTTAAGCATATCTTATATCACGTCTTCACTAGCAAGTGATAACATTCCTAGTATGCCAAAAAAGGATTAAAGTATCAAARATCACTCAAAAAATGCTAATAATAATATTTAGTTAATTCAATGAGTCCTYTATTAATAAGAGTCAAATTGTAATAAGTATATTATCATATTAAATAATAACATCTAAAAGAATAGTCACCCATTCTTTCTAATTGTATTTCACAATTTTTATGATTTACCACCTACCTCTACCTCTGACAGCTTCTGTACAGCTTCCAATTTTTCTTGTAACATTCTCTTCAAAGATTCCTGAAAAGAATAAAATTTAGAAAGATCTAGAGAGTCRTATTGTTACAACATCATGTTAGTATCAAGACCAGACAATCTCAAACAAGGTAGATAATTCTTTTTGGAAACAATTTTAGTTCAAAGACAAGAGAAAATCAAAACATATGTCATTTTTAAAATAGCACAAACCTGAATATTTGAGAATTGTCACTCTAAATTAATGACAATATTATGTTTCAACTCTAAAATAATACCAGAAGAACCCAGATTTAGTGTTGCTGTGTTTGAGGCAATAAAGTTTTGGTTCTATGAGGCTCATCTGACATTTAAGTGGAATCCTAGTCATGCATATCAAATGTCTGGAATGKTAACATGTTATTTTTTTATTCCACTGACCTTTGATCTCATCTCATAGTTATGCCTGTCTTCTTGGAGTGTTAGTAGCTTTCTTTTGATATCATCTTCACTCAAATTCTGTAAAAGAGCACAATTTGTTTTTAAATTCTGAACCAGTATTCAAATATATCAAGCTATTTTTGAAACAAGATTTATATGCTGAATTTATTTTTTTTAAGGTAAATTATTGTTAAAAAGGTATTCAAAACAGGCATTAATTTAATTCCGTTATAATTATTTCAATTATCAAATTACATAGTACAAATGTACACCACTGGGTACTACTCATCACTTGTACTAAGTACTGTCTTGATTTTCCTGGGGGGAGGGGTATGGGTATAAATGGGTCTGAATTACAATTCATATTTTAAAAAGCTTTTTTTGTCTGAGCTC